GCACTTAACACGTCCAATGTTGATTGGTCACGAATTGCAGATTGCATTAATGAGATTTTTTTAATTTATCATTAACTCGTTAAGAGACTGGTTTTTTTTACGTTGTATTAATTACATCATATGCGTAGGAGGAAGGGTGAAAAGAATGTTGGCCTTTAGAACGTGTATCTTTGTATACGAACACCTTATGGTGGGACCCCGGGGGTCCCGAATAAACGGAAGTCAAAATCTGAATTAATTTACTTATTTTTGGAGACTCCGTCCCACCGCGCACATAAACCCAAAAAAAAAATTGCTGCACCATTATCATTGCCACCAGCGCTTCGGATTCTCATGAAATGTTTGTGGGTTTTTTTCCGGGACCCTACGTAGGCAGCCCTATTAACTAACTCGCTTTTTGTAAACCTCTTCCATTTGCCCGGGCACTTTTAGCAGTGGCGTAAAACCGTCCGTCCGTCTGTATCAGGGTCGTTAACCGGTAACCGTTTTGCAGAATCCATTACCCGGTTACGAAAATCCCGAAGCGATCGTCGATTCATCGATCCGAGGGGAATGCTGCTAAACGAATGCGCGTGCTCGCCATCGTTTGCTCATCAAAGAATGTGCACATTCTTTTGTTAAGGCACTCTTCTTCCACCTCCAACCCAGCTTATATATAAGCTCCTAGCTTGTCAGTGTCTCATTCTTCACCTGAAGACGGCTGCTTGCGTTGTAGCCGAAACGTCGTGAGAATTATTTTATTATGTTTTATTTTTATTATTTTGTTACTTCCCTTCTACGTGACTTTACCGAAAAAAACCAAGAAGATGAATCCCTGCAGTCACGAAAGCTTTAAATCGAAAATCGTTTGCTCAGTTAACGGGCAAAGGCGCAGCCCTGCAACAGCTCGCCCCGCACCGCCGCCGCCGTAGCGAGAGGGCTCTCCGCTCGAGAGAACGCGGCCCACTCGTCAAACGCTGAGCGGACGTGGTGGTGATGGGGGTGGTGAGTACCCACACTTTACCCCACCGCGCGCGGCCTGTCGCGACCGACTTTACTGCTGGAGAGAGGCGGGAGCGTGGGAGGGGGGGAGGGGGTGGATTTAAAAAAAAACTTTCCAAAATATTTTCACTGCCACGCTAGGAAGATGGAACGGAACATGGCGACCTCTGGATTACAACACGTCCAGCGGTCGCGTCTACATTGCCATTTCTCTCCATGCGGTTACCGGTTAAAGAAGAGCAAACAACGGTTTTTAACCACCCCTTGACTGCATCGTTCGAGCCGCGTTAATCATCCCCATTACTCTTCCGATAACGAAGGCGGTGCGCGACACGGCTGCTGTAGCCACCACAACGAGGGTGGTGGCGGTGGGTGGTGGGGGGGGGGTTATTGCGGCTCAGAGCAGCGAGAGCAGAGAGGGAGAGAGAGAGAGAGGGGCCGCGTCACCTCTCGTGACCTCGAGGGAGAGCGCGGAAAACTCCACCGCTCCACGCGTCAACCGCGCTCCGCGGTGCAGAACAACACCCACCCCCTCCCTCCCTCTCCGCCATCCCACTCACAGAATCGCGGCATTTGACCTTAATTCTACAACGCGGCGGGGATTGGCTCATTTGTTACGGCCAAACAGGGCGCGCGCGCGCGGTGTCATTACCCTGACATCGTAATCTGAGCCAGCTTAACCGGGACCCCCACCGCCCACCACACCACCTCACTGGGCGGCACGGGGGGGGGGGGTGCATGGGGAGAGGCTCTGGTAGTGGCAGGACAAACGGCTTGTCGGTTTGTAATGCAGTTACTTGTTTTGGATGTTTGCTCAAATTCTGACGGATTATCTACAAAATAAAGCTGAAGCGTATAAATCACAATAAAGCGGCCGACGCGATGCGCCACTGACTACGCAACATTTCTCACGCCGGGCAATATTTTATGATTTATTTGTAAAAAAACGAAATTGGGGTGTGGGGGTGCGGTGCGGTGGGGGCAGGGTGGGTGGGAGAGTCGATGGTGATGGGGGTGAAGTTTTGATTATTTTAGTTTTTTGGGGGGCGGGGGAGGGTGGAGGAGGGGTACTTTTTGTCGGGGTGATTTTGCTTCTCGTAAATAATCGCAGTGCGTTCCAAAATATAATTTATATATTTTTTAATCGAAGCGATTGTCAGGGCGTAACGTCATTGCGCCATTTAAAAAATCGAGGCCTTTTTATATTTTTTTCCTGTTGTTCCGTTTAAATCAGGGGTCCCCAACCCCCGTCCTGTTAGGAACCGGGCCGCGCAGCAGCACGAGGTGAGAGCGGTGAGTCCGTGCGTGGAACCCGTCCCCATTGTTTTATTTACCACTTCAGTCAGCGCCTCTTTCCCGCACTGCGCACTTGTCACAGCGTCACAGTGTTGGCAAGCCCACAAGCTCTAACCCCTAGTAGCCACAATGAGTAAATAAGTATAACCAGTAAAAACAAAGTTTTTCACTATAAATCCTTTATATGCGTGGCGGCTAGAGTCCTCTCGTCCTCTGGCTTGAGATGGCTGCCGCCTACGGGTCAGATGATTGCATTGCACCATTAAGCAATTGGTAATTAAATATAATATTTTTGTCCTAAAAAGTGTAAAATTTTGGAAAAAAAATTCTCACGAACATTAATTGTCACGCACAACGAGTCTGTGTGGAAAATGTCAGCTCGATTGGATCACGGGAAGTGGGTTAAAAAACGACCGAAAGATTTGCACGGTCCTAAGCAAGCAAGCAAGTGAACTTAACATAAAGGATTTAAAAACAAACGTAGCTGGAGAGCTTCTTTGAAAAGAGAAAAAGACCCAATGATGACCCCTCCCCCTCCCCCGGTCCGTGAAAAATGTGTCTTCCACGAAACCGGTCCCTGGTGCCAAAAATGTTGGGGACCGCTGCGTTTAAATGATCCCTCCAGAGCCACGCTCGGCTGTCACACAGCTCCACTCGTCCGTTGCGCACTGGTGCCGTGACGAAACTGTGGGGTTCGGTGTCAAATGTGCATTCAAAATGTACGTTCAAATCATTTATTTTATTTTTTTTATCAGGTAAGGCGCTCTGAGCTCTTACATAGCTCTTGTTCAGAAGCGACCTGGCCACAAATGATAGCCCAACGAAGTGGCTTGTCGCGTTCGAATATTTTCGCAGCCAAAATACTCTCAACGAGTTGATGCTGATTCTAAATGTGGAGGGGAAAACCGGAGGACCCAGAGAAAAATCCACGCGACCACGGAGAGAGAGACACGCAAACTCCAAGTATACAGCAGGCGTCAGGGTCGGGATCGAGCCCACGAACCTCCTGCACACCAGTGGAGGTAGTTAACACCTCGCTACTGGTGAAATGTTCGGTCAAATGTCCGGTTGACCGAGGCGCGTTCCGTGTGAGCGGAAGCCGAAGCAGGATAACGTCATGGCGTGGCAGCCGACGATGACGTGACAGCTGCCGACGACACCACGGCTGATGACGCAACAGCCACTGACACGACAGTCGATGGCACAACAGCCGACCTTGCTGACGGCACAAAGAAGAGCAACCGTTTCAGAATCAATTGGAAGTGATTTAGACTTTCGATTGCACCGTCTGAGAGGTTGTGAAATGCAGATACACCCACTCACCTACCCACCCATCCGCTCATCCACTCACCCATTCACTCAGTCAACTACTCACTCAACCCCCCTCCCGTTCACTCAACCACTCATCCACTCACTCACTCAACCACCCAACCACCCACCCACGCACCCACTCACTCAACCACTCACCCACTCAATCAACCACCCTCCTACTCACCCCCTAACTTGAGCACCCACTGACTCAATCACTCACCCCTTCACTTACCCACTCACCAACTAATATAACCACCCACTCACCCACCCACCAACTCGCCTTGTCTTTGAGTTGTGCGCCTTTTGGCGTCTTCTGGTCGAACGCCAAATGAGACTGGGCTCTAACAAAAGCTGTCCCGGGTGTGGACCAATCAATTTCAAGGACAGTGCATTCATTATCAGAGTGTGTGTTTTTATTTGCATTTTGACTGCAGGTATTGTGGTTAGTGTAAACATGAATCCTTGTAAAAAAAAATTGTAAGTTTTGTTGCCAGAAAAAAGGGTATAAAACCTATCATTACATTTTTCTACTGGCAAAGGAGGTCTCGTGAAAAACATCATCAATATTTCAGAAGACGAGTTCAGCACAGGGTCCTTAAGGAATATTGCACAACGAACAAACGAAGTTCTTTGACGATGGTGACAGTGGAACGCACGTGAATTACAAAAAAAACGGTGCGAAAAAGTCAATACAGGCAGTCCTCTATTTACGATGGAGATGCGTTACGACGACTTCATCGTAAGTCAAAATATCGTAAGTCGAAGATGGCCTAACCTACCCAGGAGTATTAAAGAATGGTGATAATTTAACAAAACAGAGCAATTTACAGTACCGTGCTGTATAAACTATATACTGTATGTATTTATTAATTACAATACTCGATTGCACAGTAAAATGTAAAGTAATAAAAAAACAAGGTCAATTCTGAGCCCACCTATATGAACTGCAATTTAATAGAACGTTTTTTTTCAGGAAACAATCCTTTCTGCACCACACAAGGCGAGAGATGCGCACATCCCGGCAGCGTCCCACCGTACAGCATCGTACCTCGTCCGCTGCTGCGTTTGCCTGCCGCGCGGAATTAAAAATATTTTACTATTTTGTCGTATCGCTATCGCCATCGTAAGATCGAAATATCGTAAGTCGGACCATCGTAACTCGGGGACTAAAAGTAAGCCCGATATTTTTTTGTCGAACAGCGACGTAAGCCGTGTGCTTTGTGGTCTAATGGGAACAATGAAAAGGGAGGGGGGGGGGGGTTGATGGACGGCAAACAGAGTCCAGAACCAAGCTGTAGACGAGAGCCAACTCCAGGAACGTGGAGTGGCAGCGTGGAAATACTTTGCACCAAACTGAAGCGTGAGTGGTCTGCCCCTCCGTTCTTCGTGTCTGACCTTGGCGTGTCTTGCAGTTCACGGCGGCTTCGGTGAAGGAGGCCGACAGCTGGGTGGAGGCCATACAGAAGATGACCGGAGGTGCTCACACACAACATACAAAGACAAAGATCCCCCGTGTAGCCTTAACAGACTGTAGGGGCAAGTGCTGTTAGCGAGCAGCACCTATGAAGGCCGCCACGGCACACGAGGGTGTGGGTTGGTTGTCAACGCCATGGCTGGGGCCGCCTTTGCCTCCCTAGTGGCGATGTTTCCACATCGCCCCATGTGCTCATTTGAGGCTGAGTCGACCTAGGAGTGGCCCAGGACCGGTTCACACACAAACGCATGCTCACGTATTCATGACTTTAATTGCTTACAACTGTGGGGCCGTTTAGCCGCAGACTCAAGATATTGAACCTCTGTACCCAAGAGGGTAATGCTTTGATGTTTGAATTGTCCTTGTCCTGCTCGGCATTTGGGGGCCTTCGGTCTGTAGCACCGGTGAGACAATGCCTTGAAGCAGGCTGTCGAGTGCAGGTCGGTGAGCTTCAAGGATGTTGTTTACATTCTCGAAGCACATTTGTTTCCGTTACTACCACAAGTATGTGCAGACTTGATGCCTTGTTGCAATAGGTGTCTCTTTGGTGTTCGGTACCTTAACACCTCCTGTATTTATTCCAGATGCGATCAAGCCTATTTTGTATAATTCAATACAATCATTGTTCGTGCAGGAAAGCCAAATTTGGTGTATAAGCACAACAGCAGTAACAGCGGCAATAAAATACCAAAAACATCAACATGGTCAAGAGCGAACGCATTACTAGCAAAGGGGGCATCTGACGGTCGTCAACAAAGCACACACTTGAATCGAAACACTACGCAAACGTATTGTGAGAGCGAGCGGCTCCGGGAAATGTTCGGTACGGGTGCAAGTAAGTAATGGCAGGGCCTGCTTCGTGCTGCTGCCTGCTGCCTGTTGCATGCTGCCTGCTGCATGCTGCTGCCTGCTGCTGCTGCCTGCTGCTGCCTGCTGCCTGCTGTCTGCTGCATGCTGCATGCTGCCTGCTGCCTGCTGCATGCTGCTGCTGCATGCTGCCTGCTGCTGCTGCATGCTGCTGCTGCATGCTGCCTGCTGCTGCTGCCTGCTGCTGCTGCTGCAGACTGGGACGTGTATTACAGAGACGTCTACCAGGGCCTGTGGGACTGCAAGGCCGACGCGGCGGACGAACTCTCCTTCCGCCGGGGCGACCTCGTCCACATCGTGAGCAAGGTAGCGCGCTCGGACACGCCACGGGTTCTGTCGACGGCGGCGTTTGACGAGACACATTGAAGCAAAACGAGAACAAGGGAATAACAAATCGACAGACACCAGATCTCTGTGGTGCATCGTCAAAAAACGAGAGTCCACGAGGGTGCCGAGGATACGAAGCAACTTTAAGAAAAAATTTAAAAACCACTCGCAGCTCACACTTCCTGTGGACGTAACCGACCGTCCGTCCGTACGTCCCTCCCTCCCTCCAGCCAGCCAGCCAGCCAGCAAACCTTTTGTCAAATCCGTGCAGCATAGTGTGACAGTATGATACGTTAGCAAGGTAGGGTATCACGTGCATTTGCGTGGGATGCATGCCCGGTAGTGGAGGGTGGGGGGGAGGGGCGCGGGGGAGGAGAGGGGGGGGGTGACGTGAGCCGCGAGACGAACGATCCCGACTGACCCGCTGCGTCTTGCGTAAGGTTCACCTTCAGACGATGAAACGTCTAACGGCGGTGCCGAGTGGCACGTCTCACGGGTATCGCGTGCGACTCATGCTCTTGCTATTCTTTGGTTCTTTCGGTAAAGTCACGTAGGTAGAAAATAACATAAAAATGAAATTAAAGCAAAAAAACCCACGACGTTTCGATCGCAACACAAGCGCTCTTCATCAGGTGGAGAGAAGAAGACCGTATTCTTAGGTTTTTTCGGTAAAGTCACGTAGGTAAAAAATTTAAATTAATAAAAGTAAAATAAAATAAAAATCACGACGTTTCGGAGGCAACACAAGCTTCCGTCTTCAGGTGGAACCGCCACAGCCACGACAGCTTACTTGATACAGAAGACGGAAGCTTGTGTTGCCTCCGAAACGTTGTGATTTTTATTTTATTTTACTTTTATTAATTTTAATGTTTTACCTACCTGGTGACTTTACCGAAAAAACCTAAGAATAAGAATCCTTGCAGTCACGAAAGCTTCAAATCTAGAAGAAGACGGCTTGTGTTGCGATCGAAACGTGGTGGGTTTTTTGCTTTTATTTTACATTTTATTTAAAATTTTACTTTTAATTTAATTTCATTTTTATTTTCTATCTACGTGACTTTACCGAAAGAAACACAGAATATGAATTCCTGCAGTCACGAAAGTTTTCAGTCAAAATTCATGGTCTAACGTTTCATATTTAGGTGCGCGCAAGACTTTTCCATTGCTCGTGTGGCGTGCTTTGTTTTGTTTTTGCGTGTGTGTGTGTGTGTGTTGGTGTCTGATTTATCTTTGCTTCGTTGCTGTACCTTGTGTGCACGCGTCTCTTGCAAGCGAGACTCTCGTCCCGGTCTTTTGACTTCTCACCTGGTGAAACAAAGCCAATTCGACAGGTAACTTCTCTCTCTCCCCACAGAGTGGTACTAATGTTATCGACCCCCGGAGGGATGATGAGATGCGTCAACCCCCCCCCCCCCCCTCAGTCCCCAAACCAGAATTTGACCTCACAACCTTTCCAATCGCGAATCGCTCGCTCAGCCACTGAGCCAGCTTTGCCGGATACATCATCGGAATCGGAAAATGTATTCATTATGGAGTGAATCCGATGAGCAATGAAGCTCTTTTTCAAGATTTTGACCGCATTGGCCACAACATTAGAGCAAAGAATCGAACATTTGATTGAATCGAGGTAGGCGGGGAGAATCGTCAAAGGCCCCTAGCGGTCGGGCTGATTCCACTGCGACGTGGAATTATATGAAGGGCGCCACGGTGGCGAGGAGATGTTAACTACCTCGCCTGCTGTACAGGAGGTCGTGAGTTCGATCCCGTCGCTGGCGACTGCTGCTGTATATTTGGAGTTTGCGTGTCTCTCTCTCATCATCATCACGGTGGCTAGGAGATGTTAACTACCTCGCCTGGTATACAGGAGGTCGTGAGTTCGATCCCGTCGCTGGCGACTGCTGCTGTATATTTGGAGTTTGCGTGTCTCTCTCTCTCTCACCATCATCACGGTGGCTAGGAGATGTTAACTACCTCGTCTGGTATACAGGAGGTCGTGAGTTCGATCCTGTCGCTGGCGACTGGTGCTGTATATTTGGAGTTTGCGTGTCTCTCTCTCATCATCATCACGGTGGCTAGGAGATGTTAACTACCTCGCCTGGTATACAGGAGGTCGTGAGTTCGATCCCGTCGCTGGCGACTGCTGCTGTATATTTGGAGTTTGCGTGTCTCTCTCTCATCATCATCACGGTGGCTAGGAGATGTTAACTGCCTCGCCTGGTATACAGGAGGTCGTGAGTTCGATCCCGTCGCTGGCGACTGCTGCTGTATATTTGGAGTTTGCGTGTCTCTCTCCCCGTGGTCGCGTGGATTTTCTTCGGGGTTTTCCGGTTTAATCCCTCCACAGTTTGAATCAACATCACGCGTTTGAGAGTACTTTGGTTGCTGTAAATATCCGCATGACAAGCCACTTCGTTGAGCCATCATCTGTGTGGTCAGGTCGCTTCTGAAAAAGAGCTGTACAGCTCAGTGTGTCTTACCTGGCAAAATAAACAAAACACTTTTTTTATGTAGTTTAATGAAACTTTCCACCGAGCTTACGTCCAATTAGAAGTTTGATAAGAGCGTTGGGGCGTGTGGGGGGGGGGCTTATTTCGCCAGAGAAAGATTTCAAGTCGTGCGTAATTGCAGCGTATAGGGAACCAGCTAGCGAATGTAAACAACAACAACAACAAGAAGCAAACAGCAATAAACAACCGCCGCTTGAACGAGAGCGGAGGAGTCGGCGCCAATTACAGCGGCGAGCGATGCGACAGAGCAAACGCGCACGGTCACTCGTGAGAACGAGCGGGGGGGGTCCTCGCTGTTAAAGTGTCGAGCAGCCGAGCAGCGATTTCCATGACCCATGAGTCGTGGAAACAACAACAGCAGCAATAATGGTAATAAACGACAACGTTGGGGCAATTCATTATCGGAACGTTCTGACGTTCTCTAAGCAGCGGGCAAAACAAAAACCCGTCTTTCTTTCCTTTCTTCTCGCTGTCTTTTTCCGCCGAGAACAAGCAGAGAGAGTCGCGGTAAAACACAAAAAATTACAACCCCGCATCGAGCCTGCCTCGAGTTTTAATTAAGCCACGAAGAGCCACCTCCGGCGGAGTGAGCCGCTCTAGCCGCTCGTACAATTAGTCGGCCCCCCTGCCCCCCCCCCCCTTACCCCCCACCCCATGCCCTCCACCGCCGTATTTCAGCCACGGGGGGCGGTGACCTCGCCTCTTAAAGAGAAGCCGGCAGATTTACAAAGGCGGGATGGATGGGGGGGTTTGGAGGTAGGGGGAGAGGGGGGGGAGTAGGTAGGTAGGTATGGGACCCGACCCCGCGCGAATTGGAGGCGACCGTGCCCCCGTTGCTCGCTTTTGAACTTGGACCGAAGCCGCTTTTTTTGTTTTTGCCTCGACGCCAAAGATTTGTCACGCGAGCGGCCCCCGTCACCGCGGTCGCGATAACGAGCGGTGCCCCAATTAAAGTGGCGCGCCGGGCCCCCGAAGACGCCTACCTAGGGCCGCGGATGTCGGCGTCTTTGCTGCTGGGCCCCCAGCGTCAAGGAAATGAAAGGGAAGTTTCCGTGCGGTTTTTTTTAGTTTTTGTTTGATCTCCCGGTTGAAGGGGGGGGGGTTCTTTTAACCGGGCAAAAATAACGAAAGCCATTGGGAGGGTTTATCTCTTATTCTTGGTTGTTTCGGTGAAGTCACGTAGATAGAAAAGAAAAGTAATAAAATCAATAATGATGAAAAATGATAATTATGAATTGAAAATAATTAAAGCTCAAAAATAACGATTTAATAATTATTTTAAATGTATTTTATTTTATTATCATTACCAAGAATATTAATTCCTGCAGTCACGAAAGTTTTAAGTCAAGGTTTATCTCTTGTTTATTTTTTTATATTCTCTAGGCTTCAAAGAATATTCCGCAGGAAGAATTGCGCTAATTCGGAGCACGTGTGGAAAAGTTGGAACGGTTTTGAATGAAACGTGTCGGTCTTCCCTAACCGTTGCTCACACGTCTCCTGTAAACGTATTCGTTACTCCAACTTCTTCCGCCGATTTAATTCGATTTAAAGTTAATTTATTACATAGGAAAAAAACATCACGTGTAGCCAGTTACCCAGCTAGCTTTGGTGGCAACGGCCCGCAGGAGCCACTAACAACAAAGTCGTCGCTGGGGTGGAGAAGGAGCCAAGCCAGCGGCCAGCCAGAAAACTCGACGGATATATTATTTGTAAATGTAGTCGCACTTTTGTTAATTTGTTTTCTTTTATCTTGCCAAGCTTGGAAACCTTCCCATTAGGCTCCAGGGTGTTTGTTCGTCTCGCTGTAATCTGGCAGCCACCGGCTTCGCCCTCACCACCGGGGTGGCGGCGGCAGTGGCGTGATTAAGCGCGTGCCATGTGCACGCGGACGCAATGACAAAGATGCCCCGTATAGCCTTCACGCGCTGTTGGGGCAAGTGCTATTAGCAAGCACCTATGAAGAACCACGCTCGACCGCCTTTGTCTCCCCAGTGCTGATGTTTACACATTGCACTAGGTACTCATTTGAGGCTGAGTCGACCTCGGGGCGGGGGGGGGGATTCAGATGATAATCGTCACTGATGTTGGTGACCGCGAGCGAGAATCGAGCACGCGTTGCCCGGTGTTCTTAGCGCAGCGCGCTAACCCCCGCTTCAGCCAACACACAACAACAACAACCGCCATTCGCCACTAAGTGGCGGTGGCGTCACCACGACGCTTGTGCCAGGCCAAGTGCACCTTGAGGCCACGTGAAGTGTCGAACGCCCGCTGGCAGGAGGTCACGGGGCAGGCCCAGATGCCACGGGTCGACTGACTGAGACGACTGGCTGTGCATTAGCCACCCAGCGCTCTGCTCGTTGTTGTGAGCGTCGCTATTCCGCCCTCCGTTGTTGGAGGGCGACTGCCTCCAACTGCCCAGCAGCGTCCTTCACGAGCCTCCTCTACAGAGACCGATCTTGACACCGCTGTACCAGTCATCGGCAAGTCCACTCAGTTCCACGTCCTCCTGTACCACATCACTCCATCTCTTCTCTAGCCCGTGCCGCGCCCGTTAAGCCCCCTTTATCCGGCCGAACAAAAGCTGTTTAGGCATGCGTTGGCTGGGCATGCGGGCTACATGACCCAGCCAACGTAGCCTTGCCTGCCGGAGGAGTTCACCGATGGGACTTTGCCCAAACCTTTCAAGGATTTGTGAGCTCCTCACACAATCCAGCCTGGTTAAACCCAGGATGGATCGTAGGCAGGCTAGCCTAAATGTTTCCAATCGGCGAAGATGTTCCATTAAGGGGGTCCACGCAAGCGTAGAGAAGGGAGGGAATGACCGTGGCCGAGAAGACTTGAAGCTTTGTGCGGAGCGACAGACCAGGTAGCTTCCACACAGCGTTACGCAACCGATTTAAAAATATTGCCGCTCGGCTGATTCTGAGTGAGACCTCTGCTGTCAAATCGGAGCCGGTCATAAGCACACTGCCCAGGTGTGGGAAACTCTCCACTCTCTCCACAGCTGCCCCATCACCGATTTTGAGTTGTGGGCGTGGAGTGCCCGATGGTACAAAATACCCAGGCAGGTGCTTAGTTTTGGTGGGACTGATGGTAAGGCCCCACCTCTTAGTGGCACGCTCCAGTCTCAGCAGCAGCGTCTCCAACTCCTCCTCTGAGTGAGCAGCTATTACCAAATCATCGGCATACATAACGTGGTTGACCAATAGGGAGCCATCCCTTGACCGCACCCGAGCATCGATCAGCCTCCCATTGTATCTGTACCAGATGGAAATTCCCATGGCACAGCCATCAAAGGCTTCACGAACTACGTGGTCGAAAAATACGTAAAATAATGTGGGAGCCAGAGGACATCCCTGTCTCACCCCAAGGTGAACAAGGGAATGGCTCCGACTCCCGGCCACGTAGTTTTACCCGGGCCCGCTCACCATCATGAAGGTCCTTAATGATCGTGAGCAGAGGGTGAGGGACTCTGAAAGCACTAAGAACAACCCAGAGCGCAGTGATAGGGGTTGGGGTAGTGATACAGGAAGAGACGACAGGTGAGGCAGCGACGAGCTCAGCCTCCCCTCTGATTGCGCAACGCCTCAGTAACTGGATGGAGCGCGGGCAATACGCGCGTGCCTGCTACTATCTCAGTATGTCACCAATGTGATGTTTGTAGACCCCTTCATTTCACGTCCTCGCCTTCCATACTCCAGGTAACCTATTTCACGTGTGTGTATAAAGATATTTAGGCTCGCTGGTCTCGTCATCAAACTGCAATGAGGCACCAGGGGAGGCAGCGATCACATCTGCCTCACTGAGGGGGACGTGTCTAACACGCCCCCTCAGTGAGGACACGCCCCCTCAGTGAGGACACGCCCCCTCAGTGAGGCCACGCCCCCTCAGTGAGGACACGCCCCCTCAGTGAGGACACGCCCCCTCAGTGAGGACACGCCCCCCTCAGTGTGTTAATCTGGCTCTGATACTAGCTCGTGCCTCCCCAGCCATTGACCACACCTCACTGCTCTGCATCTACATCAGCGGCCGTACGAGAGAAGAATAAGAAAACGAAGCGGCAGGAAACAGAGGCAAGAGGGTGGCCGGGAAAACGACGACACTGATGGAGTGGAGGAGGAGGAGGCGGAGGAGGAGGCATTAGAAGGGAGAGGAATAATGTCTTTAACTTGTGAAAGAAGAGGTGCACAAGAGGTGCACAAGAGATGCATTCCCACGACGATGATGCTGCTGCTTGAAGTTGGTGAACCCAGCCACCTACGCCAAAGGGCTGAAGGGAAATACAAAGAGGGGATGATAAAACTGGTCAACACACTTTTTCTTCCAACGGTTTTAAGGTAATTTTGGTGTGCTGATTCCAAATCTGGCATCAGTTTTTGCCTATCACATCAGGTTTTTGAGATATCAAATATTGCATTTTCAATCAAAACTGCAGAAGAAAAATATTAAATAAATGTGGATATCTACATAAAATTATATTATAAACACACTATCCTAAAAATACAGCACCATATTTTAACACTCAAGCAGTCACTGACTCACAACAACTTGCAATCATAAGTGACGGAGTTAATTTCGGGTAAAATCAATGAAAATGGGGTATGCCGATAGCATAAAATGAGATGTGATAGAGCAAATCTGAGATCAGATTTGGAATCAGCACCCTGAAATTAGTCTAAAACAGCTGCAACAGTCCAGGCCAGAAAAAAATGTTTTTTTTGTTGACCAGTGTTATTGTGTGTGGGTGGCAACCCCACCTGGTTTCATGTGAATCGTCTGATAGGCTGTTGTTGTTATTGTCTCGGTAGTGCTGGTGGTGGTGGTGGGGAAGCGGTAGGGTAGTGGTTAGTGCACTACAAACCCGGCTACCTGAGTTCGATTCCCGCTCACGGCCACCAACACCAGCGACGATCTGAACCGGTCACAGGCCTCCCCGAGATCGACTCAGCCTCAAAATGAGTACCGAGTGCGATGCGTAGAAAGATCGCCACTCGGGAGACAAAGGCGGCCGGGCGTGGTGCTGTCCACCCACCCCCTCGTGTCAACCGTGCCGGCCTTCATAGGTGCTGCTCGCTAACAGCACTTGCCCCAACAGCCTGTTGATGGCTAGACAGGTCGGTGGATCTCTCTGCCTTTGTCTTTGCAGGACTACGAGAAGTGGCAGTGGTGGGTGGGCGAGCTCGACGGCAAAGTGGGGCTCGTGCCGCGGGCGTTCCTCGCCGCGGCGTACGAGATGTGACGCGCGCGCCACTCGGGAGAGACGTCACGTGGTCATGGAGACTCACAACCACCAGCAGAGCCGGCCACAGGAGCACGGGGAAACTCACCCACTGTGTGCCCCCCCCCCCCACCCCCACAACTCTACCCGATGCCTTCAAACTAAACCGAAAGTGTTACACTTGACACCGTGACGTCAAAGCGCCCCGTCCCCCCAAAGCGCGGGGCCCGGGGCGTAACCCCTAGAGACGGCTCTGACAACCACCTTTCCTTGCTTTAACCACCAAATCATTACGATAACCACCATCCCTATATCTGACCACCAACCAGAACTGCAAGCACGAACCTAAATTCCAACCACGCACTTACACACAGACGTATACATTCACACAGAGACCCACAAACTTACAGAGAGACCCATAAACTCACAGAGAGCCCCACAGACTCGCACAGAGACCCATAAACTCATAGAGAGACACATAGACTCACACAGCAGAGACCCATAGACTCACACAGAGACCCATAGACTCACACAGCAGAGACCCATAGACTCACACAGAGACCCACAGACTCACACAGCGACCCACAAACTCATAGAGAGACCCATAAACTCACGCAGAGACCCACAGACTCACACAGAGACCCACAGACTCACACAGAGACCCATAGACTCACACAGAGACCCACAGACTCACACAGAGACCCACAGACTCACACAGAGACCCACAGACTCACACAGAGACCCATAAACTCACACAGAGACCCACACACTCACACAGAGACCCATAAACTCACAGAGAGACCCACAGACTCGCACAGAGACCCATAAACTCACACAGAGACCCACACACTCACACAGAGACCCATAAACTCACACAGAGACCCACAGACTCGCACAGAGACCCATAAACTCACACAGAGACCCACACACTCACACAGAGACCCATAAACTCACACAGAGACCCATAAACTCACACAGAGACCCATAGACTCACACAGAGACCCACACACTCACACAGAGACCCATAAACTATCGCAGAAACCCATAGACTCGCACAGAAACCCATAGACTCACAGAGAGATCCACAGACACGCACAGAGATCCATAAACTCACACAGAGACCCATAGTCTCACAGAGAGACCCACAGTCTCGCACAGAGACCCATAGACTCACACAGAGAGCCAAACACTCACACAGAGACCCACACACTCACACAGCAACCCATAAACTCACACAGAGACCCACAGACTCGCACAGAGACCCATAAACTCACACAGAGGCCATAAACTAACGCAGAGACCCATAGACTCGCACAGAGACCCATAGACTCACAGAGAGACCCACAGACACGCACAGAAACCCATAAACTCATAGAGAGACACATAGACTCACACAGCAGAGACCCATAGACTCACACAGAGACCCATAGACTCACACAGCAGAGACCCATAGACTCACACAGAGACCCACAGACTCACACAGCGACCCACAAACTCATAGAGAGACCCATAAACTCACGCAGAGACCCACAGACTCACACAGAGACCCACAGACTCACACAGAGACCCATAGACTCACACAGAGACCCACAGACTCACACAGAGACCCACAGACTCACACAGAGACCCACAGACTCACACAGAGACCCACAGACTCACACAGAGACCCACACACTCACACAGCGACCCACAAACTCATAGAGAGACCCATAAACTCACGCAGAGACCCACAGACTCACACAGAGACCCACAGACTCACACAGAGACCCATAGACTCACACAGAGACCCACAGACTCACACAGAGACCCACAGACTCACACAGAGACCCACAGACTCACACAGAGACCCACAGACTCACACAGAGACCCATAGACTCACACAGAGACCCACAGACTCACCCAGAGACCCACAGACTCACCCAGAGACCCACAGACTCACACAGAGACCCACAGACTCACACAGAGACCCACAGACTCACACAGAGACCCACGGATTCACACACAGACCCACAGACTCACCCAGAGACCCACAAACTCACACAGAGACCCATAGACTCACACAGAGACCCACAGACTCACAGAGAGACCCACAGACACGCACAGAGACCCATAGACTCACACAGAGACCCATAGATTCACACAGAGACCCACAGACTCACCCAGAGACCCACAGACTCACCCAGAGATCCACAGACTCACACAGAGACCCACAGACTCACACAGAGACCCACAGACTCACACAGAGACCCACAGACTCACACAGAGACCCACAGACTCACACAGAGACCCATAGACTCACACAGAGACCCACAGACTCACACAGAGACCCACACACTCACACAGAAACCCACAGTCTCGCACAGAGACCCAAACACTCACACAGAGACCCAAACACTCACACAGAGACCCAAACACTCACACAGAGACCCATAGATCTGCCTCGACAGTCTCCCGCCATCTGCTCTTCGGTCTTCTCTTCCCATTGGTCGCCAGTCTCGTGGAGATCGCTCCAATGCCCGGATGTGAACGTTGGCTCCTCCTACTCCTCCTCCTCCCCCCGCCCTTCATCCTAACGCCGTGATTTTTATTTTATTTTACTTTTTAATGTTTTTACCTACGTGACTTTACCGAAAAAAACCTAAGAATATGAATCATTGCAGTCACGAAAGCTTAAAATCTAGACTTGAAGCATGTTGCCACAAGGCAGAGAGGAAAGTGGAAACGAATGACGAAAATGTTCAGCTACGGGCTATCTGCCCATGGGTTGTGATGATGAACCTATAACCACTAAATCCCATAACTCTAACCCGTAACTTAAGCTACAACTATTTTTTCATTACCCTTATTACGTGGTAGCCCCAATTCTTAATCCCTGTCTCGAAACGTTAACCTTACCTATAACACCTAACCATCAACTTTAACCATCACCCTCACCCTAATCCCGAACTCCGAACTTGAATCCCATGACTCATAAGCATAACCCTAACATAATCCTCTAAACCTCACTCGACCGTAACCCTATCCCACCACTAACAATAGCTTCGCCGTCCCATGCTTTGCTTGATCAGTGGGATCGCCTTGCTTATGCCACAGAAGTGCGCAGCTGGCCTTGGTTCGCCGATGAGCCCTAATGGGAAGGAAGCACGTGCCCTGTCTGCCTCAGGCTTTTTTTGAAGGCATCGTCGGTCGGATTGAGCGGAATTTGCGAGTGGACGCGTGCGATTTCACTGTTTTACAAAAAAAAAATGTTAACGTTAAAATCTCTTCGTGGCCAAATGAACGTGATTTAACGGTCTTAATAAAGTAATGATTTGTCAAAATACAATCCGTGTGTAATGTTTTTGTTTTATATGATCAGTAAGGGATTGGAACTTCCGCCAAGAGACATTGTTCGGAAACAAGAATTTACCAAACGAAGTGAAACACAAAACATCGTCACAATCGCCAGTTGACGCTGCCCTAAAAGGGGGTACAAAATAATATATAGGCGACGTTTCAGGCTACGACCCTTTTTTGTGTGTTTTGCATAGGACAGCACACTGGTTCGCAAGATTGATGCACAGGCACCTGCCCTGTCTCCACTGGGAGCCACGAGCCAGTCGTGTAAATTCCACATTCCTATGGCGGGGTTAGTTTACCCATGCGACAAGTACTGTTATGAAGTACTGTTATGAAGTACTGTTTGTTGACCACTGTTTGTTGACCACAGCATAGCGCTTGTTTTATCGAACCCCGAATTTTTGCCCCCCCCCCCCCCCCCCCACAGAGTGATGGTAGTTGTGAGTCACCCCCCCCCCTCTGCATCCCGTCCATTCTCCAAGCCAGCGGTCCCAACCTTTTTGGAACCAGGGGCCGGTTTCGTGGAAGACAACTTTTCACGGACCGGCGGGGGGTGGGGTCATCATTGGGTCTTCCCCCCTTTTCAAAGAAGCTCTCCAGCTACGTTTGTTTTTTAACTCATTGTGGCTACTAGGGGTTAGAGCTTGTGGGCTTACCAACACTGTGACTGTGACAAGTGCGCAGTGCGGGAAAGAGGCGCGGATGGAAGTGGTGAATAATAAAATAATGGGGGCGGGTTCCACACGCGGACTCACCGCTCTCACCTCATGCTGCTGTGCGGCCCGGTTCCTAACAGGACACCGACCGGTACCGGTTGGGGACCCCTGCTCCAAGCCGGGCTTGGACTTTGACGCTTGAGACCGCGATGCTCGGTGACACGGGAAACGCGTTGAGAGAATGAAGGCGTCCCCGCGTCCGTGTCGGTTAGATCGTGGGGGTTGTTTGGCCAACTCTTCACCACGCCGGTCGTCGTTACTGGCGGTCATTTGTAGCCGTGGTAGGCGAACCGAATGCAGAGTTTTTTAAATCCTTTATATTAAGTTCGCTTGCTTGCTTGCTTGCGTGCTTGCGTTCTTGCTTGCTTGCTTACGACCGTGTAAATCTTTCGGTCGTTTTTTTTAACCCACTTCCCGTGATCCAATCGAGCTGACATTTTCCACACAGACTCGTTGTGCGTGACAATTAATTTTCGTGAAAAAACATTTCCAAAATTTTACACTGTTTAGGGAAAAATAAATAACTATTTAATTACCAATTGCTTAATGCTGGCAGACAATCATCTGACCCATAGGTGGCAGCCATCTCAAGCCAGAGGACGAGAGGACTCTAGCCGCCACGCATATAAAGGATTTATAGTGAAAAACTTTGTTTTTACGGGTTAATTTTTTTGGGGCCGAGTTCATACATTTCCACGCGATAAGCCGCTTCGTTGAGCTGTCATTTGTGGCCAGGTCGCTTCTGAAAACAGAAGGATAATAGCTCAGTGGGCTTTACCTGGTCAGATAAAAAAAAATAGTTGAGTTTTATTTGCATATTTTTTTAAGTGATTTGTTTACATTTCCTATACGTTGCACTCCTATTCTGTTTTTGTATTGTTTGTTTTTGTAACGTTCTGACCCGCAACCTATTGGACGTCGATTAAAAAGGAGCTTCATAGCTCATCAGATTCCTCCGGTATAAATGATTCTGATCAACCGCACTGCGCTAACCGCTGCGCCACCGCTCCACCCAACTGTATTATCACAGTGATAAAGTACGGATTATGGATTAGGATGCGCGTTCAATTGCTCCGTACCGCGTCTTGCTTGACGCGCCGTCGCATTAATTCGCGACCATAAATCCTCACCCTTTACCTCGCATTGTCGCGAGCACTTTTTTTTTACAAACGCATCTCCAGCCTCCCCCCCCCTATCCCCCCTCCCCCCGCGTTTGAAAATAATCTCCATCATTTGTCCCCGTGGCGCTAATGTCATCGTCTCATCCCACCCTGCACCCCCACCCCACCACCCCAGCCATGCCACGCTTTAACGGTGAGCGCGCTGGATGTGCGCTCGACCGATGAGTCTCAATGATGACGGAAACAGGTCGGATGGGTTTTCTCCCATTGGTCGCGCTGATTGACCCCCCCCCGCCCCGTCGTAGTTGGGCTGGTTGGTCAAATTCGCTCCGTTTATTGGTGGCGACTAATGGGAAGAAAGCCACAAAAGCGGTTCTTGAGGAAGCGGTGGTTTTACGTAATCCTTAAGCCTGA